AGTCCGGAAGCTCCGCTGGGGCCTGTCCACTCTGGGGGGCCCTGCTGGTATTTGAAACTTGAGTGGCATAGCTTCCAGCATCAGAGAAACACACGTGCCACCACTGGCAGACAGACAGACAGACAGACGGGTGTTGGGCCAGCCCTTGGAGCAGGGCCTGGAGCTTGGGAAAGCGGAGGGCAGCGATACAGAGGAAGGTCTGCCGCCACAGACGCTGGGCTCGGGCCTAAGGACCATGTGAGGGTGGCACGGGACCGGCGGCAGCGTTCCGTGATGTCCCTCTGTCGTGCACAGTGCTTTGGTTCAGAACCGACTCGGCCCCTGAAGACAACATTTGAATGCCACAGGAGCCCTGGTGGCACCGTGGGCTCAGTGCTAAGCTGCTAACCAAGGTGTCAGCAGTTCAAATCCCCCGGCTGCTCCTCGGGAGAAAGAGGAGGCCCTCTGCTCCCTTAAAGAAAGCCGAGGAGCTGGTCCCCCCCCCCCACCTCTACCCCCAAGCTGGCAGTGGGTTTTGTCTTTTGAGTTGAGTGTCGTTTTTTAAACAGGAGCAAACATAGGCGGTTTGGCACTCCCAGGCCATCCAAGGGATGTCTGTCAGATGTGATGGGTCAGGCAGGGGCCAGGGCCCCAGCCCAGCTCTTTGCCAGAGCACCCCAGTCCCGCCCCCACCCCCACCCCCACGGCTCCGACCCCTCTGTCTGCCTCATTCACACCATCTTCACAGATCACGCTGGGCTGTGGAGGGGCTGTGTGTGTGTGTCTAGCCTGGGCCGGTCACAAGACCGGCCTTTACAGCCATCTGCTGCTTGGGGCTGGGTCACGCGGTGGGGCAGCCTCAGGTGACTGGCAGGCAGACCACAGACCCTTGTCTGAGCCACACTAGACACGCCACACATCCTGGGGGTTTCAACTGAGGGGACCGGGCAGGAGGCCCCACCGTGGCCCACTCTGAGGGTGCCCACTCTCCAGAAGGCCAAGTGAGGGAGAACTCTCCCTTCTCCCTGCTGAGTGCCACCTACCAGTCATGCTGCCACCCATGGGACTGCCCATGGTCATGGGTCCAAAAGGACCCAGCCCTGCCCTCCTTTGTCTGTGGGGTTCACAGCCCATCAGGCCCATTCTGGGTCACAGCCAGCCTCTCCAGGGCATCTGAGGCTATGAGTCGTCATGGGAACTGACAGCCTCATCTTTCTCCCTGGGAGTAGCTGTTGGGGGGTTTGAACGGCTAGTCCAGAGATTACTCCACAGCACCACCAGGGCTACCCCTGATGTCCTGTGGTGCCCCATGCATAGATCTCTGCCCAGGAATACCTCCCAAGGGGGCATTTTCTCCCAGCCCAGCAGGATAGAAGCCCTGGGATCTTGAATCTTACCTGGTTCCTTTCAATTTCAAACTCCCCAGTGGTGAGCCAATTCTCACTCTGAATAACACTCCCCCAACACTCCCCTAGCCAGGCCAGAATAGCCCTCATCAAAGCCCAGGGAGGAGCCCCCACTGCCTCTCCCCAACACTGGATCTGGACCCCCATCCTTGCCACCCACTTCCTTGACCTTCCTGCAGTGAAACTCACATATCTCCTTGCCATCGCGTGCACGCCGACTCATGGCGACCCTACAGGACTGGGCAGAGCCACCCCTGTGGGTTTCTGAGACCGTAACTCTTTATCGGAGTAGAAAGCCTCCTCGCCCTGCTGTTCCTTCAAGGAGAAGGCGAATAACGAGCTCTTCAAAGTGTCTGACACTCTGTAAGGGACAAGAGGTGATGGGTGTTTCCAAACTGGAGCAGGAGCCCCTGGGTGGGCCTAAGGTTAGCACAGTCCGGGAGCCTGGGGGCGGGGGACCGCTATGCCGTGAGGAGCTGGAGGTGCGAGCCCAGACAGAGGTACCTCAGAGGAAAGGCCTGGCGGTCTCCCAGAGAGTTCAGCCAGGGCACGCTCTGCTGTGACGAGGGTGCTGGGAGCCAGCCTGTGCCCACTTGGCAACATTTGGAGGCGTCTGGGGGTGAATGTAGGAGCCCTGGTGACATAGTGGTTCCTGGTTGGGCTGCTAACCACAGGGTCCATAGTTCAAAACCACCAGCTGTTCCACGG